AATATATAAATTATTATTTAAACTTTGAAATTTATAATAAATAATTTAAATTGTATCATAATATTAATTTTAAATAGAAATAAGTAGATTGTTAATTATAAAAATAAGTGTATATATATATATAAATAAAGATTAATTAAATATAATATAATAATTATTATTAGTAATATAATTATTATATATATTATTATAAATTATAACGGTCCGTATAAATAAAAATGAGAAGGATCCAAAGATAATATAAGTTGAGATTGTATAGTTGAGGATGACTTAAATGAATTAATTTGTGCTACCTATACTAATAACATGCATCTGCTTTTCGGTAGCTTATCTCATAAGAACTCCACAGTTAAGCATGCTTGACTTGGAGTATTATAGGGATGAGTGACCTTTTGGAAAGTTTTTCAAAAACTGTGTAATTAAGGACAAAACATGCTGAAAAGTGAAGTATTGTGAAATAAAATCCTTGAGAGGCCAAATATGAGTTTTTCGTAGCGACCGAATTTGCGACGTCTATAAAATTTAATAAAATAAAAAATAAATCTTTAGCGACTGATTTATTCAATCACTAATTTGGTCCCCATACACATCAGTGACCAAAATCATTGCAACCATTTTGCGACTGAAATTTTCAGTCGTTATATAGCTTTGCGACCAGGGTTTTTGCGACTACTTAAATTCCGATTTTGGTGGTCGCTAAATGCCATTTTTTTTGTAGTGACTCACAATTCACTAAAAGAACTAAAAAATGCTTTACGTTAGAAAAAAGACTAGCATATCACTTGAAGCACGAAAATTTTCAAAAGAAAGTTGCTTCAGATTGACACATGCATGGTTTCTCTCATGCATGGTTCTCTTTTTTGTACCTAAAAGGTGACAAATAGCTTCATCGATCAGATAAAAAGTGACAATTTGATGAAATGCATTTAATGCACCAACAAACATTTTTCTCTTCTTTAAACAAACATAAAGATAGAGGAAGCAAGCTTGTGAAAGGCACTCAAGGATTTGTAATGGTCATCTTCATGAAATACCTATATAAAGAAACTTGAAGATTTAAGAAAAAAGAAAGAGATATAGACGTACAGAAACATCATTATACATTTCTTTCTTTCTGTAAAAAACTTTGTACTTAATTGGTTGTATCATGTCATGATAGTAAAACGAAACAACATTATTGTTAGCTTATCCGACTTTAACTTTGTGTTATTATTCTGGGCTTGGAAAGGCTTAACTATAAAAGATTACTTGATTTCCTTGGGGATGGAGAGACTTGACTATAAAAGAATACTTGGTTGCCTTTAGCCTAGAAAGGCTTGAGTATAAAAGAATACTTGGTTGCCTAGAGCTTGGAGAGGGTTGACTATAAAAGAATACTTGGTTATTAAATCTTGAAGAGGCTTTGTGTTAAAAGAATACTTGAATAGTTACTTCAAAAGGTAAGTCAAAGAACACTTAGGTTGAGCTAGAAGTGGTTTGTGAAAGAATACTTATATATTTGTAAAAAATAGTGGAACTTAATCAAGTTGATCAAGAACTAGATGTAGTCTTAATGGTTGAGACAAAGCAATATAAAAACTATGTGTTCTGCTCACTTTAATTACTCCTTTTCTTTTCTCTTACGGTCTTGTTACTACTTCACTCTTTTAAAAAAAGTGAATTTTTTTATTGAAACTATTCAACTCCCCCTCTGGTGTTTATCTTTTCTCCATAGCTTGATGAGGGATGTGTTAGTAGAAAAAGAGGTGTAGAAACAAACATGCCAAAAGTATAACTAATGTGTAAAACATATGAATTGGTGAGTTTATTTAAACTAATGAGAGAGATACCACATAAAAATGGACGTCCACTTCTTAGGTTAGTATGCCCTACTCTTTCATGGTCTAATCAAACCTAATAAGCACATCTCCAAATATTAATTGTATTCCTCTAAAATACTAAATACACTTCTTTTGTCATAATAGACAACGTAACTATTGTGACATTGAGTGAGAAGTGGTAATTCTAATTACAATCATGGTCTTTGTAGCGTGCAATGATCATGAACTTTAGGAGAAACTAGTAGTGGCACCTATAAAGACTTCATTGGCAAAGTTAGTATTTACTGAAAGTGTTCGTAAGAAAAATGAATAGTTATATACCTTTGTGAAAGAATTTTCTTATATCGAGAATAGTTGATTGGAAAATTAGTTATCTTCGTAATATTTTGTTATGTGACGTGAAACTTCTATAGAGCAAAGAATGTGTCACATAGCAAATTCTCTAGTTTTTCAAATTTTTTTATATCTTTGCTTAACTCGATACATTTTGTATAGGTACTAGACTAGGTATAACCATAGTGTTTTGTGTTAGGAATAGGTGAATATATAGTTGTAAAGGTAAAAAAAAAATGTGCTAGAAAGCTTAGGCCAAGTTAAGTCAAGATAACATCCAAAACAATTTTGACATCTATAAATGATTTTTATTAATAAGTTTTATGTTAGTAGCAATTGATTTGAAATAACTAAATTAACAACCTCATATTAAGGTGTCTATGAATTATATCTAGACAAGTTACATGTTATAATTTGATTGATTAGTTGGTGGAAGCTAATAAAAAAAATTAAACAGAAAATAAAAATCAAATTGGTATAAGCTATGTTATAAAAGAGTTGTCTCCCTTTAGTAAGTTAGATCAAAATAATGGTTAAAGTTAATTATTGTCCTACATTGGACACAACAGAAAGTTACACTAAAAAATAAAAATGGAATTAGAACTTGTTTGAATATAAGCTTAAAAGAGCTTATTTACTAAAAAGAGTTTTTTTTTTTCCAATAAATAAACTCTAAAAAATATTTCTAAACTTATATCTAAACATACATATCATGTTTCAAATTCAAATTTTCCAAGGAGGCATTATTGAGTCTATTTCTCCCGTACTCTAAAACATGTTTAAAGTTCACAAAGACATAGATACATAAAATTTTATATGAACACTCAACACCTACAATTAGGTGTTAGAAGTCTAGTAACAATTATAAATCATTCCATGAAACGGAGCATTTTGTTTAGTGCAGTGAGATAAGCCTCTACACTAGAAACAATGACATCCACTCCTTCTCCAATCCCACTATAAATTGACAAAAGCATAGAATATTAGTTGTGCATGTGCGAGATTAGTAAGAAAATGATATACTAAAGAAATAAAATTTTAAATTAATAATACCTGAATGTTGGATTAATATTATTTCCATTTAAAATAGGATTAGATACCATGTTGTTTTCTCTTTGAATCACAACACGTGTTGTCACAACTGCATCACTACCTTTTGTAACTGTAATCAATGAGTACTCAAGTAGTTTTACAATTTCCTGCATAAAATAGTAACAGATTTTTTCATGACATAAATACTACTAATATTAATAATCGTTGTCAATCTAGCTAAATATTTGAAAACAAAAATTGTACAATCCAAGAAACCTCCCTAGCTATATGATGATTTAACAAAGAAGGCTAAAAAGTTTAGGTAAAAGTTTTATCTTCTTAATTTTATACTCAAACATAAATATGATTCACAATGTCTTATAGATAACCTTATAGCCCATTATTTTTCAACAAAATAATTAATCATCGGGAAAAGGGAAAAATAAAATATTAAATATTTCTTTCTAGAATTTGAGGCGTTAATACAAATAGATTTTTAAGGAATACACAAATAGAAAACTAAAGAAATGAATAAATGCTTATATATACTAAGAGATGTAATCAAAATGAAAAAAAATAAAATACCAACAAGGAATTTATCAAACTTCAAACCTTAACAATGAGATTAATAGCCTTGTAAGCTGAATCCACTGGTCCTGCACCAACAGAACAAGCAATATGTGTGCTACCATCAATACTAACAAGTTTGATAGTTGCAGTTGAAAATCCCTTAGTTCCACAAGTCACCTACATTGAAAGATGTTGATTACTTTAAATTTTTGGATTCTTATAGTCAAGACATTGTATTAAGCATATAGCTTTAAATTAAGCACAATTCAATTTACCACCAAATCACCAAGCTTCCAAATAGGTTTTTCATGAGAAACTTCACCTAACACCAATGCTTTGAGGTCATCATCAGTAACTCTCTTGAGAACACCAAACATTTGAGTCAAACAATAGGAAAAATATTAGTTCCAAGAACGACAAAAATGGATGCATGTTTAACAAACATCACAAAATAGAACTATAATCATATTATTATAGCAATTTTTATAAGCATATTTATATCTTGTTTTAAAATTTAAGTGATGGCCTTAACGTCTAGTGAGTGATTATTGTAGTTTTTCTAAAGGAAGTGGTTATTATTGTTTGCAATACATGATTTTTGGGATATGGTCCCCTTGTATATATGACAAGTTTTTGGGTTGCTTTCATCCACAATGCAAAATGATGACTCTAAATTTTGTTTAGATATATTTGTTTTCTTTCAGGCTTTGGTTGCTCTCTTCAGGCATCATGCTTTTGGGAGTTTTCTATATATGATTAGTCATTAATTCAATGATGTGAATTTGGATTTTTTTTTCTATAATAAATAAAGATGTGTAATTATCAAATTAACATATGGTGAGCATAAAAATTTTCTTAAAGTGATTTCATTTGTATAAGGTGCACAAATAAAGATATATCCACTGTCAAATAATTTTAGTGAGTTTAACTTGTACAATTTTGAGTTAAATCCATATGTTGTAGTGTTGTACCAATGCATCTAAAATTAATTTATCCTTTGACCTCAATTTTATGATATATATATATATATATATATATATATGTATGTATGTGTGTATGTGAGAGAGAGATAAATTACAATTAATATGGCCAAATTAAGTACATGCAATAATATATTATATTGATAATTGAAAAAAGACAAGCTAGGAAAGAAAACAACTAATTTTAAACCTTCTTTTTTTCTGCCATTGCTTTGAAGCTTTGAAACACGCTCTCAACTTCATCATCCTTAAGTTCATAACCAAGCTAAAAAGTAGATAATAACTCATAAAGCAAAGGATAACATTTAATATATCTTCAAGAATAGCAAAAAAAAAGAATATTCACATACCTCTTTGAATCGATTTTTCATAGCTTGGCGTCCACTAATTATTGTAAAGGAGTAAATGTAAGGAAAAATATGAGTTACATTTATTATTTGAAGTTTATACAAGAATAGTAAAACAATCATTAGCAAATTGAAAATTTTAAAAAATAATAATAACAAAACACAATGAACCAATGCTATCATGTAGAAAAAAATTGTAGATGACCATGGACGGATCTGTGTCCTATTTTGTCATGATTTGTTGCATGATGAGATTGTGTCTTATTTGAGAGGATGTGGGGATGTATGGCTATGTTGTGAATTTGTTTTTGCATATAACATGATATTAAGAGTAGACCCTTGTCCACGGTGTTTCGAAAATGATTTCAAGATGTGATGGAATCATGTGGTTAAGTCCAAGAGGATAGTAAGACTAGGGTTGTCTCTCATAAATAATAACTTACACTTTTGTAATTTGAAGATGAGGAAAAACCAAAGGCAGATGGAGAGGACTTTAGAGATTCGCATCTAGCATTTGACAATCATCAAGATAAGAGAGGAGTGAGAACCTCACTCTAAAGTGTGGGTTATTTGTGAGTAGTAAGATTGGCCTCTAATCTCATCTTGATTATGTATAATGTATGAAGGAGAAATCTCAATCTTGAATTGTACTTCTTAATTTTTTGTTCTATGTTATCTTTATGTGTTATAGTTATGACAAGTGATAGTAGTCTTGTATATGATCTATATATATAATTGCCTTTAAATATGAATTTATAAGTGTTTTTGGGTTCCCAAAGGAACCCTAAGAACTAGAAAAAAACGGATTGTTAGGAGTATTGCATATAAGTAGGAAAAACTTAGATTAGAATAGGTTATTCATTTTGTGAATTCACCGGGCGCAAGAGGGTTGCTTTAGGTGTGACCCTCCTAGTGAGATTCGTAGTGTTCTCTTTTTGAACTATGTCGAGCGTAGGGTGTTCTTCGTTGAGCGTCACCATGTTCCTACACATGTATTGCATGATAGTTGTTTAATGAATTTTGAGCGAAGATAATCACTAAATGGACGTATGTTGTTGTAGGAACCCAGTGCATGATTAATATTGATGGTGTTGAATATGTGATGATCATGTGAATGGAAGTCCAAGTCTAACTTACTAGTGTAAAAAGTGGGACGAGATAAGACAATCCAATTGTGCCTAAGTACAATATTAAGATTGAGTATGTGATACACTTATTGAATATACTACAAGAAATTATGTTTTTAACTGAAGTTACTATAATCCCTGGAAACGTATACACTTACGGGAGTTTTAATAACTCTAGTTAAATTATAGGGGTTTGATTTCAAACCCCGGGAAAGTGCCCGGTATTTTTTAGAAATCCTGGGTAATATTATTTTAATTAATTAAAATATTATTTTTTTAATTTCCCTCCTATTATTTCCTTTTCCTCTTTCTAATAAAGACATCTTGTTCAACACAGTGCGCGTACACCCGCCGCGACATCGAAACCCTAGGAAAGAACTTCGGCTCACTTTCATTCCCCTTCACGTTTTCGACAAGTAACGCTTCCTCCACATCCACATCCACACACTCTTTCAACCCTCGCGATTTCAAGTAAGAGTGGACCGGAATTCCCAACGGCGCCGCCAACAGAACAACCAAAACCACGGCGAACGCCCAAGACGCCAAAGCGCTGGGGTTGGGCAGGAACCCGAAAGCCAAGAGGTAAAGGGCAACGACCACGGCGATTGCGTTGAGGAAAAAGATTCCAGAGAGGCAAACAGCGAATGGAACGAGAGCGAGCATGACTAGAAGGATGTAGGGTCGTCGACGAAGAGAGCAGAGCAGAGGTCGGTGAATATGGTGGTGCTTAAGCCGACATAGCCTTTGAGAATGCCAGAAACGGGGCCTTTGTTGCGACAGAAGTTGTGGATGCAGGTGACTAGAACTGCCGTGTTCATCCAAGTTGTGCCATTGCCATTTTTTTTTGTTCTTTTGTTTTCTTCCATTCGTTTGTGTGATCCTTTTTAGGAGTTTGACTTAACGAATGAACGGTTTCTTGTGCCGGAGATGCTCTTCCGATGGCTATATCTAGGTGCATGATAAGACCATGCAACCTTTGCCCTCCACTTGGGCCTAAGCCTTTCTATCACCAAAAATACATCCAATGCTCACCAAAAATAGGCGTCACCTCCTAATGTGATACCCTAGCCCAAATTAAAAACCTAATCATCTAAAGCACCCCATAATACAAGGGTAAAATGGGAAATACAAGGAAAATAAATCCTATGACTAAAATACCCCAAAATACAAGGGTAAAATTGGAATAAAGCAATAAATTCTATACTACTCAAATTGGCCATAGCCATGAACCATGTGATGGGTCTCACATGAAGTGAAGTACCAAGGATGGTCCTCCATCACAAGCTTAGAGAAAGAATTAGGAAAATGCATCTAATTTATTAATACTCAAAGTTAAAGTTCAACCAATACAAGGAAATCCTATATATAGGAGTTTGGTTGGCTTATGGTGCAAGCTAGACTAACCATGGTCAAGTGTAACAATGGTTAACCCTAGTTAACTTTCTACAAGTGTAGTTAGTTGGCTAGAAGCTTACAGAGCAAGCTAAGCTAATCATAGTTTAAGAATAACCTAGGTTAGCTTAAGTTAACTCTATCTACCTAACCTAATTATTACAACTACTAGACTAATGATTACTTTGACTAGTTTGTTGAGATGTCACTATCAAGGCTATGTGACTTACTTAACAAGCTTGGATGGCTTGTTCATTAAGCTTGGAAGTCCAAAACACTTTCTTACGCAAGTGGACATCCAACCTTAATGGGCCAGAAAAATGTTATGGCCTAGGCTAGTTACACCTCCCCTAAACTACTAATTACACCCTTAAATACAAGGAAAAAAATTCCTATACTACTTGACCCAAAATACATGGTCAAAAATATCCTATACAATCACTACTAAAAATGTAAAACAACAATAGGATTCCTTAAGGTAGGATAGACCTCCAAATGTAAGGTACCTTACAAAATAAGGGTAAATGCCTTATAATTCTTCAGACCATCGTTATCATCCTTCACCCTTCTTGGTTCTTTTTCTTCCAAATGGATCATTGGGAAGTAGATTTGCATCACTTATCCATTATATATTTCAATAGTGTTTGCCCTAAAACAGTATGCATGAACATATTGCTTGGATTGATATTCCTTATTCTAATAAGAATACAACATTTTCTCTAATAAATGACGATTTCTTTTGTAGCTCTAAAAGATTATTAAAATAAAAGAATAATATTTTGCTCTAAATAGATAGACATATACACTTTGATGAAAATTATATTCATCTAAAATTGAAAATGACTAGATCTAATGTATTTAAAATTTTATCTTTTCAAAAAAGTGTTTGTCACCATAAAAAAGGGGGAGATTGTAAGGTCAAAAGATGATCTTAGATCCCTAAGGCTTTAAGTTTTAACAATAACAAAAATATATATTTTTCTAAGAGAAATTTTTTTAGATCAAGCATTAAGACAAATAGATATAAGACGATTGATTATCTTGACATTAAGTCTCAAAGACGAAGCACTTTATTTGTAAGACAAATGCTTTGTATTTATATCATTTATGATGTTTGAAAACAAAAATCATCTTTGTCTACATGCTTCCTTAATTGATCGAATGAAAAAAGTTTCTTCAATACTACAAGAAAAACTCAATTTAGCCACCGAAATTAGAGACTAATTTTTTTTCGTCGCTAATAGCGACATAATTAGTGACCGAATCTGATTTGGTTGCAAATTTTATTTAGCGACCGAATTTTCAAGTGGCCAATAATCAATCGCTAAATTGGTCGCTAAAATAATAATTATTGGTTAAAATAGCAACGGAACGGTTTTGGTCACTAAAAAAATAGAAAGTTATTATTTATAATAATTTTAGCGACTAAATTAAAATTGGTCGCTAAAAAAATAAAAAAATATTATTATTTATAATTATTTTAGCGACTAAATTAAAATCGGTCGCTAAAAAATAAAAAATATTATTATTTATAATAATTTTAGTGACCAAATTAAAATCGTTCGCTAAAAAAATACAAATATTATTATTTATAATAATTTTAGCGACCAAATTAAAATTGGTCACTAAAAAAATAAAAAAATATTATTATTTATAATAATTTTAGCGACCAAATTAAAATTGGTCACTAAAAAATAATAAATATTATTATTTATAATAATTTTAGCGACCAAATTAAAATCGGTCGCTAAAAAAGTAAAAATATTATTATTTATAATAATTTTAGCAATCAAATTAAAATCGGTCGAATGTAAATTTTTTAAAAATTTTAAAAATATATTTCTTTTAAATGAAAGGAAATATAATAATATATAATATTATTTTTTTAATGTTAAAAATATTAATGATAAGAAATAAAAATCATTACCCTCCCAATAAAATTAATTTATTTTTTAAAATAATAAAAATTATATAATTTAAAATAGATAATTAATATGATGTATTAAAAAAATGAGAAATATAATGCTATGAAAGAAAATTAAATAATAATCTTTTTAATTGAAT